AGTGGTTTGGAGATGAGGTTTGATTTCATGGAGTCTGACTTTTCCTAGTCTCCTAGGATACGAGAAAGCTGGGAGTGTCTATAACTGGATATGGCTGTTGTTACAATAAATTTATTTAGAGGTTGACTTGGGGACTTGTGGTGGAGCCCTCCAAAGATCAGACTTCACTATCACTTGGTGTTACGTTTTCCTCCTGTAGACTACTGTATAGCTCTTACCAATATTTGGCTCAAAGTTCACGTCCATTCAAGTTTCATTTCTAAACAACAAAGTACACCAGCAATTTGAGATCAGCAAGTGACTGTGGTGACCCCTGGGACCCTTTGCTGTGTTCTTGTGATTATGCACAGTACCTATTCTGTTTAGTTAGGGCAATGGGCAGTCCCAGTGGACTTGCTGGCATTGGTTATGAAAACCACAGCAAGATGAAGAGAACCAGGCAGAGAACAAGCCTCTGAAAATTCTTTTAACCCTTTCTCACCTCCCTGTGCAACCCTACCAGAGGGTTATCCCTCTGGAAACCTGCCAGATAGAGACTTGAAAGGGCTTGAGACCACTCAGTTCACTGACCACATATTCTATACAATGACACTAAAGCCAAGGGAAAATACTGCCCATGGTTGTGTAGCTAATAAGTGGCAAATCCAGGTCCTTGGAGCAAGTCTCTGACCCAAAGTCATGCTTACTCCACTACTGAATTTTTTTCAAGAATCCCACAAAACTTTCCATCAACATACTTGCCTCTTTACAAAAACAGGAAGACAGGGCAAGGATTAGCAGGAGGCATTGCAAGGCCATTACAGCTTCAGTAAGATCTCTTCTTAGTCTAATGCAAATGGAAATAGCCCAGGCCATACAAAGATAAAATGACATATTTCTCAAATGCTCTGACGCACATTTCGAAACACCACCAGTACACTTGGGGGTCACTGAGCAAGCACCTCTGCTTTAGTAAACCCTACCTGTGGACCCCTGAAAATCTCATCTCACCTCGCTTTTATTTCTCCATGGTGAATCTATAGACTCCCTTTATAATATGTATACTCAATTAGGAGGCAAGTCAGTGTACATCTTAACCACTGTAAACTTCTGGAAATGATCCTTCCAGAAACCCTCGGCACCCAAAACATATCCTCTGGCAGCTGGCGGGCTACACCCTGCCTGACTTCCCTCTCTTACTTCCGGTGATTACTGGTGGCTTTGATACCCCAAGCTCCTTTCCAGCATCACACTCTTATCAGCCTGCGCCCTATGGTGTTGCCACCTCTGCCCCTCCCACCCACAATTCCACACTAGTTGCTCCTGTGCCAGTTGAAACATCAGCTCTGCTGGACAATTTCCCAGCTCCACCTCCATGCCAAGTACTAATGAATACCCCTTCCCGTTTCTATAGCACTTGGTCTGCATCTCATTGTTACCATGGCTTGCCTTTTAGATAGCCGAGTATTCCCAGCTCTCCATCCATAGGTGTGTGCCTAGAGTTTAGGAGTTCAGGGACACCGCCCAGGGTGCCTTCCTGTGTGTGCACTATAGACACCGTTGGAGCAACGTGGCAAGGAAAGAGCTCTGTTGGAAATGCAGGTGCAGAGAGAAACGTGCAAAAAGGTCCAGCCTCCAGGAAACGCATTTTCCCTTGTTCTTAAGGGTTCCCTTTCATACCTGAAAGGTAACCCCAAGCCATCCCACCCCCAGCCCCTTGTTTCCCTTCTACAGTGAGGAAGCCTGGGCCCTGGGTGTGGCACAGAAGGGGGAGGTGGTCACCAGAGCAGGGCCTGAGCTACAAGACCAGCGTGTCCACTCCCACAAAGGTCTAACAGAAAGGTTTTACAAGCAGCCCATAATTAATAACGGGGGTTCTGAATTCCTACTCCTTTTGTGGCTTTGAATGAGTTATTTTCTGAGCCTCAGGTGACTTAGCCACACAGTGGATAGAAGGTCTCCCTCAGAGAGGTGAGGAGGCTGAAGAAACATCCACCCTGGACTCTGGCTGGGCACACTGCCCTGACACCTGCTCTTTTATACTCAGCTGGATCCAGAAACAGAGAAGTGTTCATGGTCCATAATCTTTTAAACAAGTATCTCATCTCTAGCAAAATAAGTCTATCTTGGAGCAAAAATCTGAAAGGTCCACTTAGGTCTCATGGTTCTTCTTGGTAGACACCACATGATTCAGAGCTTAAGAAGTGTGTCCAGGCTTGCAGATGTCATGGTGAGCAGCTTCCTGCTGAGGTGCACTTACAGAATGGCCTCATGGGCCCCCAGCCTGCACCATGCTGTCCATCCCATCGAATCTGCTTCACACTCTAGGTTGCACTGTGGCCACTACCTCTGGGCCACTGACTCTGGAGGGGTCACTATCATGGAGTCTTGGTCTCTTCAGAGAACTCCCCACCGGGAGGATAAGGCATTGTCCTCTCCTCCAAGAAGGAAGAGAGCTAGCCAGCAAAGTAACATCCTTCAGGAAACCTGCGAGTCTAATCCTGATTGTTAACATGATAGGCATGAGAGATGCCTAAGGGATTATGTGAGTCATAAAGTGAGTGGCCCCGTCCTCCAGCTCTTTCCAATCCTTTCTGCTTCACTAGCTGCCATGAGGTAAGCAGCTTTCCTCCATCATACCTTCCTGCCAGGTTTCTGCCTTGGAGTCAGCTGACTGGACTGAACCCTCTAAAACTGTGAGATAAGATAAACACTTCCCCCTTTAAGTCTGTTTTTCAGGTATTTAGACCACAGCAGCACAAAGCTGACCAATATACTGGGAGGAAAGAGGAATAACATTGATGTTACAACCCTGACCACCATGTCAAATACTGCCAACTTCCTCTACATTCCTCTTATAAATGCAAGCATTATGGAAGTATAGCTGGATCAAGGCAACAACACTGGTTAGAGCAAGAGAAACACTAAGGAAGATCAGTCCTGTCCAAAGTGGTCTAAGTCAAATCTAAAGATGAATGTGTGGGATATGAGTTCAAAGGGAGTGCTCACCCTAGGTCCTACCCTCTTGAGCTCATTCCACTTCACTGGTCACTTACCTCGTCATAGTTTTTTTGTTTTTTTTTTGTTTTTTTTTTTTTTTTTGTCTTTTTCCTTTTTATTGGTACCAGGGATCGAACTCAGAACTGCCTGCTTGCAAGGCAGGTGCTTATGCCGCTGAGCTAAATCCCCAGCCCCACCTCTTCATGTTTATTCAGCATCTCCAGCCTCCAGATCTGGCCCGTAAGTGCCTTGTCATGACCCCCTTTTTCCTTTCCATCCTCCTCTTCCGCTCAAGAATCTTAGGGCTGTTTCTGCCCATATCCTCACACCCTCTTCTGCACACACCCTTGGAAGCATTTTCCCTTTCAGCACCACAGGCTTTGTCTGCATTTCCAGCTGCCAGTTCCAAGGGTCACAAACATCCTTTGGCATGTTGCTCACCATCATTCACTAAAGGACCAATTCAACAGCCTCCCCGACCACTCCTGGCGAGGTTCTGAAAGTGAACGTGCAACATGTAAAGCACCGGCATGTGTTCTGCTCAGACAACAGGCACCGACTGCCAGAGGCTGCAGTAACTTGCTGAGGGTACAGCTGTGAATCTGCTCAGGAAGAGGAACTATGGCTTCGCTCTAGCACTTCCACGGAAGGGAAGTGACACACTCTACAGCTGCCCTTAGCCTGCCTCCTTCCTAACACTAGCTGCTTCTAAAAGCCTGTGAGACCTGGGATGCCAAAAGGCAACAATTATCTTCTCAGGGCTGAGACATGCAGGAAAAGAAAGTGCCAGTGCCACACTAAAGCCATGAGGGCAGACACTACTACCGACTGGTAGCAATTCACCCCAGCCGCCTTGTTTAACATGAAAGGTGAACACAATCTCAGTATCAAAGACATGAAAGACCAGATAGCTTCTGGGTTCCCAGTTCAAGGTCCCAGCTGCCACTTGTTATCTGTGAGACCACGGTCAGTTTCTTTACCCTCAAAATAGGCGTAACAGTCTTCCCTCCAGAGGATGAAAGATCTAACTAAGGTTAGTAGACAGTATGCATACAGCATGGCATATGGCATAGTTAATAACAGAAAACATCCACCTGGCAGAGCGCTTGTGTTCTTATGTGAGCCTGAGCCAGGAGCCTGCGGAATCAGTAAATTCTTAATAAAACAAGGAGTAGGGTATTTGCCCAAATTATTTCTACTGCATCTCTTTTATTTCTAGTCTGATGTTCTTTATTAATGACTCTTTATTCTACTACTGCTCTGCAAAGTTTTTTTTTATCCTGCCTCTGGAGGATGTTGAAGCTGGATGCTGTCTGGGCTCTCAAGAATAAGCAGTGACAAAGTTGATGATCTCCAGAAAAGTAGCTTTAGAGAAGGAAGAAGCCACGGAGCAGGAGCTGCTGCCTCACTCTACTGGCATCTCTTGCCCACCTCTGTTTTACCACAGCCCTTCCTGCCTTAAGAGGATCTGACCATATGGAGCCACATAACAAGGGATTCTTGCTACCTGCAGATCACCTCAACATTTTGTCCAGAGATCTGTGGTGTGGGCAGACCTCTGTGCAGGAGGGACAGGGGGAGGAAGGTGGAAATACTGCTCAAGTCTCCCAATTCGCCAGCCCCGTGGAGACCTAGGATGAGATCTGAGTGAGTGTTCCTGACAAAGCTCTCATCCTCCCCCATTGCCCTCATCCTATTGCCAGGGGGCTTCTTCCTCAAGCAGGCTGTCAGGGCTGAGGAGCAGTGGAAGCAGGTGCCAAATACAAAGAAATGATACGAAGTAGTGCCAGGCCCAAAGGCCCTAGAACATACATGTCCTTCCACAAACAGGCAGCACCTACCACGATGACCACAGTAACACACAGGAGAAAAGCCACTACTGTGCAGACTGACCTATGGTCCAGAACGAATTCATCTTCCCCTCTTTTTCTCCCAGCCCCTTAACTTCAGCGCCCCCACAAGACCAGAGCTGTGAGGTCTCAGGAAATGTACTACAACAAGCAAAGACACAATACAACTGGTGGAGTTTATAAAATCATGTTTATTTCTTTGACTGAAAGTCATCCCTATAATACAGGGGTTGTTATTTTTGCATGGTTAACTCACACTCTGATTGCCTTGCAATCCAAGGCAGTTTTATGTTTTGCTCTTCAGAATGGTATTGCTGACCACACTAACAAAGAAATTACACTAATGGAAACAAAATCAGGAATCACATGCAGCACCACAGATTTATAGAGGGTTCTCGGTCAGCAGTTTTCCCCCTTCTTGCCAAAAAGGGACCCAAAGCAAGGCACCCTTGAAAACACAAATGGTACTCCTAACAAAGTTCTTGACAAAAGGTATTATTGGTAAATTCATCATCCAGGATCCTCTGGTGTGAGAGAAGTCAACAAAAGGTTAAAACCTGTGGTTCTTCTTACTTCCTCTTCTTTGGGGCATATAATTTTTCTTCAAGTGGGACTGGGACAATGCCTTCACACTCTTTTACTTCCTGGGTCAGAGGGTGTTTTACGATATTTGGTCTAATCACATCAATGTCCCGAGACAAGTGCTCCATTATACTCTCCACAGTTGTTGTTGGTGCATGAAAATCCACCAAGAAATACCTGCAAAAAAATAAAAATTTGAGAAGTTCTGTATCCTGAAATACAACAATACTACTACGCTGGTAGGTGGTTTCATTTGGTCTCGGCAGATACACATCACTACTCACAAACACACCTTTGTCAAATAGACTTTCAGCTGACCAGCTGAGGAACACAGCAAGCCACTCAACCTCCTTTCCAATGTGCAAACATGCACCTAAACAAATTGTATGGCAACAAAAAAGCATTATTAGCACTTACAGTGTGAAATACTAGAAGATCTGGTAAAACTATGGGTTTAAAGGATGGGATTTTCAACCCATCACCAGGACTGAATTTTAAACCATTAATTGGTCTCTCCTTTGAAAATATGTACCAGACAGCTTTCTAATTTTCCAAAGGATTCTGTAGGTGACTTAGCACACCCCACAGACACCATCAGCTATCCTTCGCAAACAAAGAAAAAGATTAAGAAAGTGCTGAGACTTGTCTAAGACTACTCTGTAGGTTTAAGAATTGACAAGGAATATAAAGGAAACGATTTGAACTTCAGCTATGAAAAAGAACACACTTTCATTTACTCAGACCACACTGTCACCAACAGGCATCCCAGACAGCCCAGTGGTCTTCAGAGATCCACAGCTTCAGCAGCAGGCCATGAGATGATACTACAAGAAAATGTTCACCCTCCTTCCCTGCACACCCATCTGCCTCTCAGTTCTGGAAGTCTGAGCCTCTTTGCACTATTTGATTTGGACTACAGTCTGGTTAGGGACTGTCAGCCCAGTATTCTAGAATTCTTCAACGTTCTAAGCTGGTAATGTTTTTAGCATCACTGACTTCATTCCAGTCAGATCTCTTGAAACACCCAAGCCTACTCCTTTCTGAGGTCTTAGCCCGCACTGTTTTTTTGGCCAGTGCTGTTCTTTGCCCAAGTTCCACTCAGTTCACCACTTCCGTCAAATCTCCATCCACATGTCACCTCCTCAGAAATGTTCTATGGCCATTTCTCCTAAATGAACATCCTTTCTGCCTTACCCACCAAGCCTCACTACTCCATCTCTCTTACTCAATACATTATTCCTTTCTCAGAGGACTTATTACCAGTGGTGTAGCAGGTACTTGTTCATGTCTCGCTCCACTAAAACATAATTGCAACATGAAGGACTCTAAACAGAGACTGACATACAATATGTCCAGAGTAACCCTTTCAACAGTGGTGCTGGCGTAATAAGTAGACTTACCAAACAGCAGCTCAAGTGGGTGAATCAGCTTTTAGAGCAGAGAAAATTATGAGCAATTAAAAAAAGAGAATGCATAATGATGAGCTCACCAAGATACAATTCCAGATATAAATCTACCAGATTTGAGAACCCCACCATAAAGGAGAGATCACACAGAACCAAATAAGAAAACACAGATCCACAGTTACAACCTGAGGTTTCTGATATTTCTCTCTTAGAAACAGAGAGAATTAGTACCCAAGAAATCAGCAAGGACAAAGAAATGTGGAGGGTAGTATCAACCATCCAGAACTGATATTGAGAGAATCCTTCACCTAGCAAAACATAGATTCTTCCCAAGTATGTACAGAATGTGTAGCAAGGTCAATCATAGTCTCAGTCATAAAACATGTCTCAATACATCTAAAGGGTTTCAAGTTGTACAGAAAGATTCTACGAAAATCCCCCATATACTGGAAACTAAAGGAAAAAATGGACCAATGGCTTAAAGAACAATTCAAAACAGAAATTATGAAGTACCTTAGAGAAAATGAAACTGAAACTATAGATGTCACTGAAACAGTACACAGCAACAAATTTATAGCACTAAACAGCTATAACAAGAAAGGAATCAAATCAATGAGGTCTTCTACCTAAGAAACTTGGGGGGGGGGCGTTAAATCTAGTAAAAAGGAGGTAAGGAAGACGGAACAATAGATGAAAGCTGAAATCTCTAAGACAGAAAACAAACAAAATCCAGAGAACACCCATGAAACTCAGTTCACTGAGATCAGTAAAATGAATGTTATTTCTACTGAAACTGATCAATAAAGACATAACACACAAACTATCAATACTGGGAATGAGAGAGGTAAAGTGATTATAGACTTTACAAATATTAAAAAGATACTAAGAAATAAGTAACTTTTATAATAAACTTGATAAATTCCTGAAAAATACAAAGCTCACAAAAAAATAGATAACAAGAACAGCTATGCATCGATAACAAGAAACTGAATTTGTAGTTGAAAACATTTCCACCAAAAAACTACAGATGCCAGACAGTTTTGTTGGTCAATTATCGCAAACATTAAGAAAAAAAATTTTGTCATAAATTCACCCCAAAAATAAGAAAACATACTTCAACTTGTTTTGAGGATTTTTATTCTTTTTATAAAGAAGTTTTGTCCTCTTTATGATGATTACACAATATCAAAACAAAATACATCATAGAAAAAGAACAGGCTAATATTATTCATGATCAAAATACTAGCAAATTAACTAATGCATAAAAAAGACAATATTTCACAACCAAGGAGGGGTTATCCCAACAAATTCAACACACACACACACACACACACACACACACACACACGGTCATTTCAAGAATGCAAAACAAAAGCACACAAAATCCCAGGCATTCCTGATAAAATTCTCAGAAAACTGGAGATAGAAAAGGATGATCCTCAAACTTACAAAGATATCTTTGAAAATCCAATGAGTACTATTTCACCAAATGACAGAATCAGTTTTCCCGAAAGGCTAAGAACAAAGAAAGATGTCCACTGTGGTCACTTTTACTCAACATTAAACTGGAGGTGTTTGCCAGTACAATAAAACAAGAAAAATGAAAGGCATCCAGATGGGCATGAAAAAAGTAAAATTGTTTACTTACAGATGACCTGCTTACTGGGAAAACCGAAACTGTATGAAAAATATATCAAAGTAAGTGAGTTTAGCAAAGTTGTTAAGATATAAAATCAGTATACAAAAGTCAGTTGTATTTTATATTATCAGCAACAAAAAAATCAAATCTTGGAATTAAATGCGAAATATTTAGGAATACATGACAGAATGTTACTCAAGAAATAAACAAAACCTACACTAATGGAGATACACCTTTCTCATGTTGTGAAAGTTGATGATACCAAGATGAAATCAATTCTTTTTTTTTGCGGTACCGGAGATCAACTCATGACCTTGCAAGCTTGCCAGGCAGGCACGTATTCCACTGAGCTAAGTCCCAGGTCCTGAAATCAATTCTTACAAGAAAAAGAGAATATTGGAGCCTGGAATTAATGAAGGGGCAGCATTCATGCCTACCTAAGATAAATATTATTTCAAGGCATTTCTGAAGTTCCATGTGATTCTTCTTTTACCTTTATCAATGGGTTTTACCAATGAGCTAATACCAATGTCTACCTCCAGTTTCCAAAACCAATAAAGTTTATATTCTACTTTGTTAATCTTTCAGATTTTATTTTGAAAAACTGCCCTCTGCCTCAACCTCTATAGCACCCATGTTGCCACTACAAAATTCTTTTTTTTTTTTTTTTATCGGTACCAGCGATCAAACTCATGACCACGCGCTTGCAAGGCAGGCGCTTATGCCACTGAGCTAAATCCCCAGCCCCTAAAATTCTTTTATTTTCAATTATGTTGTTACTCTGTAGAGATCTCCCCAATTGTTAAGACTGGCAATGGGTAGAAATTCTTAGATTTATTTGTGAATGCTCCCTAAACTGATCTACAGATTCAAAAGAATCAAAATCCAGGTAAACTGATTCTCAAATTCAGATGGAAACAAAATGATGTACAATAGCCAAAACTTGGATAGAGAATAAAGGTAAAGAACTAACTACATCTAATTTCAAGACTTAAAGCAATATTAATCAAGACAGTATGTGATAATTCAATTGATTTAGTAGAGAACTGACAGTCTTTTCAACAAATGGTGCTGGGCCAATTCAATATTCTTATGAAAAAAGTGAACTATGCTCCATATGCGTATCATTGAAGAAAATTAACCCAAAATGTAACACTAATTATAAAATTAGTGATAAAACTTCTAGAAGAAAACAAAGGAAAGCCTTTGTGATCTTGGCATCTTCAGACACAACATTAAAGCACAACCCATAATAGAAAATTTAGATAAATCACATTTCATCAAAATTAAAAACAGCTCTTTGAATAAGGACAAGCCACAAAAGATTTGCCAATGATGTGTGATAAAACATTAGTACACAGAATATAAGGAATTCTCCAAATAATTTAAAACAAAACTTTTTAAACAATGGAGATAACACATGAACAGACATTTCACTCAAGATTAATAATGGCAAAAAGCACCCAAAAAGATGCTCAGACCACTAATCATTAGTGAAATACAAATTAACCATAAAGAGACACCTGCTTGAATGGCTAAACTGAAAAAGAGCATCCATACCAAGTGCTGGTGAGGATGTAGAGAAACTGAAACTCTTATACACCGCTAATGGGAATGCAAATGCCATGACCAATCTGAAAATAAACATTTTGACCTGTTATGAAACTGAACACAAACATGCCATTATGACCAAGCTATTCTGCTACTGAGTACCCACCAGAAATTACAGCAGTGGTCCACACACCAGCTTGTCCTCTGCCTGTAACAACCCCAAAGTGGAAAGGACATAGATCCTTCAAAATACACTCATAAACATACAGGTGCATGTTACTCAGAAAATAAAAGGCATAAACTACTAAAGAATCTCAAACTGAATTATGATGAAGGAAGAAACTAGTGGAAAATGAGTATACCATAACCCCACAAAGCTGAGGTTAAGTCTTTTGCAGATTTTTCCTTAAAACCTAACCGACTAATCATTGTTCAGGAAAAACCCCAAAATTTCATGGAAACATCAAATACAGCCTGTAATTGTTTTTTTGGGAGGGGAAGCAGGGGGACTGCAAGTAGCCAATCCAAAAGCATTATTCAGTTCTCTTTGCTGCTGACTGGCTGCTGCCCTGTAACCCACC